GGGATTTTTGATGGTCTGTTGTGCATCCGCTGTGAGAAGTCGGCTTGCCACAGCCTCGCCGCTCAATCCTTAACTTGCCGCCTCCGAGTCGCTCTGCAGCCCCCTCGCTGCGCGCGGGCCTGAGGTGGGTAGTGCCTCCGGGCTGGGACGTGCGGTGAGGAAAGCGCTTGCAGGGGAGAAGATGGAGGCTGTGCCTGCGGAGCCGGAAAGCATCCCCGCGCCGCCGCTTGGCGGGGAATCGGGAGCTGCCCTGGCAACGGGGCTGCTCGCTCTGCTTTAACCCTCCGGCGGGCGACTGCTTATGCTGCTGAAAACGCAAGGCCTGGCAATTAACTTTAGGAGATGGAGGGACGTATTAATGTAAAGGCTAATTAAAATCTCACTGGGTGGGTCTGACTTACAGGTGCTGCGTCTGTCCCTCCCCAGCCTTGCTCAGCACCGCCGGGGTTAAACGCATCTCTGCCTTTTACAGTGTCTTACCAAAGCTGCTAGAAAAAGTTATGTTGCTGTTTATGCTGCTGTGACATCTGGGGGCTCCTGTGAAGGTGGGGCCCTGCTGTGCTGAAAACTTTACGCAGATGAGTGCTGTACAGTTATTTTTGTTTGCGTTTAAGCTTTCGCCTGCAGCGTCTGCCAACGCACCCGGCAACGCCGAGGCAAGGCAGGAGAGCCAGGGAGGGAAAGGGGCCGGGGGGCTTTGCTGCGCCGGCCAATTAAAGCGCGAGGAAGGAAATGAAAACCATGTGAAAAATTAATCACTTCCAAAACCCCTCCTTTTGTTCTTATAATCTAAGATAAGACTACCGCTGGGGAAGGGAGGAGAGGACGGCAGGCTTTAGATCACGGTTGAACTGTCGGCACGTTAACGCCGTCATTTTTGCTCTCTGGACGCGATGTGAAGTCCCGCGGGCACTATAGCACAAGGCGCTTCTGGTGTTTTCTAAGCTGTGTTGCAAACGTGCGAGGACTGACGGCCAAAAGGACCAGCGTTTTGAATGCTGAGCTCCTTGGAAAACGCAGCCCCTCCTGTCGCAGGGGGGCCAAGTTAGAGGGAGGTCTGAGCACCTGACGAGCCACCCCAGCAGCGGCGAGCTTTTGGTGCAGAGCGCCTCCGCTGCAGAGGAAATCAGCCCCGAATCCCAGAGCTCAGCACCTCTGAAAATCAGCTTCTTGCTACGAGCGTGCCGAACACGTCTCCCACGGGACATAACGCTCGCAGCCTGCGTTGCGCTGCGCGGCAGGGAAACCCAGGCAGCCGCCCGGCGCTCCAAGCCCGCAGTCGAGTTTTTGTTCTGCGCTAGACGTAGACCCACAAGGAAAAAAACACAGCACAGCAAGCTTAGCGCTGTTTATTGGCAGTAGCTCTCATGCGTGCTGTGGCTCAGCAATATTCAAAATTATATATGCATATATAATTTTGCATATATATATGCATATAGATTATATGCAGTAGTGGTTACAGGTTTGCTCCGTCTGATTTGCAGTATTGTCTACGGACAATAGTGAACAACTGTTACAAGGACATTAACAAACTCTCTTTGGCTCTGCTGATGCGCAGGCAGGTGCTTCGCACAGCCCGGCCATCGATCCGTTTGTGGCCGCCCCTGTTCATCCCTCACCTCTCTCGTTACGCCCCAGCCCACAGGTGCTTTCAGACAAATGCCCGTCTTAGGTGTTGCCCGGACAGGCAGCACTTGGCACAGATAGTGCTGTGGGGGAAGAATACCTGCCGAGCATCTCAGGGCTCCTTGCCAGCGCTGGGCAGCAGGGAAGGAGGTGTTTGAAACTCCGGCAAGGTGCGTTTGTCACTATGGGCAATACCAGGTGCAGCCAGTCTGCTACTGTGAGGTCAGGGGGAGCAGGACTCGAAGGAGAAGACACCTACGAGGGCCAGAGGTGCGTGTCACACTGTGAGAAGCCGCAGGACGTTCAGCCCCACGTAGTGAGCCAGGAAGAAATGCGAGAGGCCCAGGGCTGCCGCTGCAACGAGGACCCAGAGGACTCCGGTGCCGAAGTATATGGGGGTGAGCCTGGCGGGAGAGAGCAAGCGCGCTGAGACCGAGCGCCGCTGCTCCCGCACGGGAACAGCGCCGTCCTCCCCAGAGAGCCGGGAGAGGGGCACGTGCAACGGCAGCCCCGGGCTGTCCCCTGTCCCCTGCACAGGGTCCCGTGCCTTGCTCCCGCCTAGAGGGAATGCACACATCCGTGCAGGCTCAGAGCAGCTCCGCTCTCACCCTGTATCCGTCTCTTTGGCCCCAGCCCTGTGCCAAATCCATATTATGCTCGGGGGAGAGCTCTGGCAGGGCTGCTTCGCTCTGGGGCTCTGAAGCAGCCTGAAAAGGCAGAGGGAGTCCTGAGCCTCCCCTTGCTAAAGCACATGATGTTCCCAAATTAAAAACCCCAGTGGCTACTGCTTACTCAAGCAGGAGGTCTTTACCTTTCTGACGACGATGCCCTGTAGCCCATAAAGTAGCAGTAGCGAGAGCAGAGATAGAGCAGACCCAAGGATGCAGCCAGACCTGCAATTGAGAGAAGAGAAATCACAGCGACCAAATCCAAAGGCTTTTGAGAGCTACTTTGAGCCAAGCAGGTAGCCCAACAGTGGAGCTGGAGAGGCTCTGTGTCCTCCAGCTCTACAGTCCCTTTAGAGCCAGAATTACCGCCTAAGTTATTGTTCAGAAGGCGAGCAGGCCCCGAGGACTGCTCCAACGTTGCTGACATGCTAAAGGGAACAGATCCAGTGTTAAACCAGGTAAGAGGCCATTCTCACCTTGATGGAAGAAGATGCCAGCCTGCCACAGAAGTGCCAGGAAAATGGGAAAATACTCAGAGGAATTCACCCTGGCAGGAAAGAGGAAGACCATAAACAAAGGAAAAGAGGAAGATCTTTCTTTCTTCCCTCCCCTAGCAGTTTCCAGAGGCTGTAAACTGTTGCATTTAAGAGATGATGCCTCCATAAAAAGCCTCCAGGCTTTCATCTTTTCCCACAGTTCCCTTCCCATTTTCATTTGCAGGAATTATACAGTGGAAGGAACTGGGTCTCCAGGTCCAGTCCCTGGCTGCAGGAAGTTAAGTAACAGATGCCCAGGTCAGACTGTACTGAATGGCTCCATGAACTACCCCCACCACTGCTCCCCAAGTGCTGCAGCTTAAACCCAGCAGTACAAGCCACAAAGTCTCAATCATAAATGCCAAGAATGAAGTGCTGGAGAGACGGCAGGGACCCAAAGCTCCACATGCTAGAGGAACAGGTCCCGTCATGAGGGATTTGAAGCAGCCTGAGGGCCATAAGATTGGGTCTCAGCATCAAGGTCCACCCCACCAGCCCATGCACACATTCAGGAGAAGGTGCAGCTTATACAGATAAGGACATAGCAGCTTGGGCTTCATGCAGGAGTGCAAAGAAGCCCACAGGTGGTAGGACTGTCTGTACAGGACTGTCTGTACAGCTGTGCCCTGTCCCCCCCAAAGGCAATGGACACAAGACCAAGCTGGGAGCATCTAGACTGGCAAAGGAGCAGAGAAGGTGATGGCTGGGCAGATCCTGATCCTGGTCCCCTGTTCTTTTCGTGCTGCTCAGCTAAAGCAAAAGTGGAAACTTCCTCCCTCTCTGCCTCCTCTGCAGCTGCATCCGTGACACAGAAGTTGCTGCAGGGATGTCAGATTCCAGTAATCCCCTCCCCGCTCCTGCTGAGAGCTCTCCAGGAGCTTGTACATACCATTGAGTGGAGCTGAGAGCAGTCCTGAAGCTGCCTTAGGCTTTGACAGCACTTGCCTAAAACCAGCCTAAGACTCAGATACCAACAACTCTATCTTTCACAGCCCTTCTCTCCACAGCAGAGAGTTCTGGTGTGGTTTCTATCAGCAACGGCTGGTGTCTTTAGGACTCATGAGCCAACACAGTCCCAATGCTGACTCTTACATTCATTAATATAACCCTGAGGGAAGTGGGTAACTGCTGAACTACTCCACCTAGAAAAGAATGGCAATGCAAGGGAGGTTACACCCGAGGTCTAAAAACCATCTTATAAGAGAAGGTTCTTACTGTGCTCGAAAGATCCTCTCAAATTCGGGTGGGCCTGAAATCTTCGGAGGAGAAATGCCAAACGTCCGCCTGGCATAGATCACCTGGAGGAAGAAGTAGGCTGCAGTGAAAGAGAGAAAAAAAGCATGCGTCAATCATCTGGCTGGGCTTGGCAGGATCAGAAAACTGTCAGTGACAGAGGTGCAGCCCCTTCTTAACTTTGCAGCCCTGTGTAGCAGAGAAAGCTGGGTTAATATCCCGGAGAAGTTTCAGACACGGAAAAGGAATGACCCAGTGACAGTCAAGCAAGGACGGTGCAGTCATGTACGATCAGCAGATACGATTTCTTGCTTGCATAATTAACAGATTGGCCATTATCAGTAGAAATTGTTATACCGTTCAGATGCACTTTGTTGCTGCCAGTTTCAGCTTTTTACAAATCTTTAATTTTTTTCTCTTCCAAATCCTGATAGCTGAGTAGGGAAATGATGGCTCAGATAAGCCACCCAGATACTGAATTACACAGCCATGCAATGTGGAACCGTGGCTGAGAGCTATTCCCTGCGACCCACTGCATCCTGCTGCTCCCCCTTCCAGAGCTGCAATGCTCTTTTTATTCTGAAGTCTACATAAACCTCAAGAACTGCTGCAAACCTGTTTATCAAACTGTGAAATTCTACATGTTTCCAGAGGAGAAGATCTACCAAGAAATTTCTAAACTGAGAGAGGATGTTAGTTCAGAGGAAAGACTTCTATGAGACTGGTGATCCAAAGACTCATTTTGTTGAATTTCAAAAACCAGACTCATTATCAGGCCACTGTCTGAAAAGCAGGGCAGTGGCGGTACAACAGCAGAAATGAAGTACGGAGGTGAAAGGCAATCAGTGGAGATATGGTAGCTTGACCCAACCAGTGCTAGGGCACGTGCCTAGTTCTGCATAGTGATGGTTCCTACCTTGCTCCAGGACGCCCAGAACCGTCACGGCAGCCAGCAGATGAATCTGATCCAGCATACTGCCTCTTCCACACCCCAGAAAACCTGATTTCCTGATCAGAAGCTCCTCTGGTCAGCTTTAGTCCTTGCTGATGTGGCAGGAGCTGGCAGCAAAGGTTTGCTCTAATCGAACAGGAAAGGTTTGCATGTGGTGGGTAAAACCAGGAGAGGAGGGCTCTGGCTTGCCTGTTACCCTATGCACAATGGCAATGCGAAGTGACAGAGAGAGGGCTTATATAGTATTTCTGTTCCCACCCTCCTTTTTCCAGGAATACGCTATGAGGAAATTGGAGCGCCTGTAGAGAACTAGCATGAGAGATAAGAGAGGAGAACTAGCGGCCACGTGGGGGAACAAATCTCAACAGCCCAGCAGTCCATTCCTACTGTGGCATCTGGTTTAAAACCGCTCCTGGCAAGCTCCAAGGCACGTCTTTCTTGATGATGTTGCGTGTGCAGACTTGGGCTGTTCTGCACACACATGTTCTGCACACACATGTTTTACAAACCACCCAGGCGTCAGGGATCACAGTGTTTCACTATGCATCGCTCTGCGCAAAGACTCTCGACTGCGGGTCGGGCACCGAGCAAGACTTACTGCCATCGCGCAGAAACAGCAGCAATGAAAGCCCGTGCATGAAAACGCCACTGCAATTGGAAGACAGGATGTGAAAAAGTATAAAAGCTAGAGATCTGTCTTGCACCGTTCTGCTTTATTTGGGGATGAGTGCTGCAGAATGACTGTCAGAGACACGGAGAGGGTCTCAGAGGCAGCACTCCTTCCGGAAAGGCTGGGAACTGTGCATTTGATCTTCTGGTCAATCCTCGCCCAAAAAAGCTCTCATAGCAAACAGCAGTGAGAGTTTTGCTCAGATAAAAACGTGCAGAATCCATCAGGATACAGCAAAAAGACAATGGAGCTTTCACATGTGAATGCTGGGACTAACCTACTATATTAACGTCTGCTTGTCATTGCAAAACTGGACAGCTGCAAGTGATCGCACGCCCTGCTTTGTTTCCTTCCTCTCCATTCATTCAAAGAATTTTCTTTCTAGCCCAGGGGAAAAAGAAAACAGGTTAAGACAAAGGGATCATTAAACTTCTTTAGTACAGAAAACAATAAGCAGTTTACAGAAATTATGTGGTAGATCTCATGTTTTTTATAGGCTTTATAAGAAACAATTGGTTGGTTCCCTTTTTGCCTCCTTACAAGGGATAAAGGCAATCAAAGAGGCTATAACAAGGTCCCAGCTTGGTATTTCTCCAACCACCAAGCAGAGATGCCACCATTTTTCAAGCATTCCATGTAAGATGAATAGTTTCATATCAGAACTGAGCAATTTTCCTTCCAGCAACTGCTTAGAAGTACGAGGAACATTGTGTTTTGTTTTCTCCAGCTTCGCTATCAGAGCAGTGAGGGACTTTCCTGTTTCAGCGGTAAAAGGGCAGAGGTCTCCCAGCGCTTAAAGAAGTTTGTTTTTCCCTCAGCTCCTTGTCTGATTAGACCCTGCTAGCAAAAGCAAAAAAAAAAACCAAAAAAGCCAAAAAAGCCCAGGGCAAAACAACTGATCAAAAAAGACCTGTGCTTACACCTCAGTCAGGCTACAGCGCAGCACCGCCTGGGTCAAAAGCATCAAATGTATGTCCGGAAACCCTGGCCGGGAGGAGTTTTGAAGGCTCACAACGGGCACTCCCACTTCCCAAGGCACCCTGAGATACAGAACACCCCTCGTACCGTCCGGTCTAGTCTAAACATAGCAAGGCCAAGCAGAAACCTGAAGGAACAAACACAGCTATCGCTCTCTCTTCTCCTCCTCTCTCCCCCATAAGCATAATTTTTCAGGCCTGTCTTTACCTCACGGAGGGCACGAGGTTTTCTCGTCCCCGCACGCAACCGTTTTGGAACTGCGGGTATCTTCGGCACGGCTGCCGGCCGTCACTCCAGAACAAGCCGCTTGCAAAATCATCGCGCCTTCCAGAGACATCGCTGGAGGCATTTCTCTCCGTGGCCCGCTGCTGGCGTCGCTCTGCCACCTCCTCTTCCTGCAGCCGTTTGCCCTTGCTGCTTCGCAGTTGTGGCTGTAGAGCTGCAGCGTGAGCTGGGTTGCGACGCTAATCTGGATTTAAAATGATCTTCGCAAGAAAAATGAGCAACGCAGAAGGCCTGAGAGAGTTATGAGCAGCCGCGTGGTTTACAGTGCCTATCGGAGGGGAAGGAAAAGGCAGCAGCCCAGAGTCTGGCGATGTTTCTGCTCGCCGAAGAGGAAACATTTTGCGTCGGAGCAGCTTAGACTTCAGCTGCAGAGCAGGGAGGCTCCTTGACCTTCCAAACGTATGGTAAAAACAGCCAAATATTTTCTAATATTTTCACAGTTAGCGCTTTCCCTTCTAATCCTTTTGCAGCCACTGAGTACGTTCAAACTTGTGATAGTGGAACCGCAGTTGGGAACGGTTTGTGTTTTTCTAAAAGCCGCACAGAAAAAGTGAGAGATCTTTTAGTTCAAAAGCATTGAAAGCCACATAGGAGAAAAGTGGGCTTGTTTGTTTGTTGGTTTGGTTTTTTTTCGTTCAAAAGAATTAAAAAGGGCTCAGCCCAGAGCACCTCAGTCTGGACAACTAACAGCCCCCTCAGGCTGGAACAGCGAAGACGCGAAACCCTGCCTCTGCTGCCTTTGCCAGCTGGGCTTTCCTATAGCTCAGACCAATATATGTTCTTGGAAGTCATGGATTTTGCAGCTATAGGAAGGACGGAGAGGCTAAAAAGAAGACAGACTGTGGCAAAACGACAGCTATTCATGATTTCATCCCTTACCACCACGAAGCCAGCTGTGTTTGGCCATTCCTAGGAAATGGGGACAGCTGTAGGCAAGTTCAGCTCTGCTGCTCCCAGCCGCGCTCCCAGGAAGGTGCGAGCTGGGCGCTGTGGCTCTGACATGAGCCCTGGCTTCTCTGTGCTTGGCAATGGCCTTAAAAACTTTGCATGAGAAGAGTTACCACGGGCTGTCTTCCTAGCACACTGGTCTACACCAAGGATCGTCCTTTCAGAAAGTAAAATAGCAGACGGTTGTTTTTGCCAGCAACATCCAGGCTGAGAAAGACTTTACGTGAAGTATGCTGAGTTTGGTGTAGAAACTCAGCATATGTTGGAGATGTGTGGTCGCCTGTTGATCTAGACTGACGTAAAACAGATATCCCTGAGATTTCCTGATCTGTGGCATATCAAAGAGGTCACATAAATAAGCTATGTTCCCAGATGATTACTCATAGCAAAATTTTTAAGGGCCAGTACAATCTTTCATGAGCTGCTTTAACCTTCCGCTTGAAAGTTGCCACTGCATGAAACAAGACCATGATCAGTCACTCCCACTGATACTCTTTTTCATCTCATTGAAAGATGAAGTGCTCCTTCAGTGATGGTGGGAAGCTTCACTTTAAAGATAAAATGGGAAAAAACTTTCAAAACCATTGTTTTAAAAACAACCTAGAAAGCCAAGGCTTTGGGAAACTATAGGGATGAGCATACTATTTAGAGATAACTTGGAGAACTTCTTAAAGCCTTCCTTCTAAAGGAGTTTGATGTCCTTTATCTGTATACTTAATACATCTGGCTAGAGGGGATGTCAGTATAAAAGCAATGCCAGAATACTCCCATCAATTCCTCATCAAAAGGCACTCACACATGTAAATGAATAATAACAATTCTTCTATGGCTAACATCTGTTAAAAATATTAAAGCAGACAAACAAATTTAAACCTTCTCTTTGGCCTGCCTTGTCTCAGAATATCGTTACATGGAGTCACTTTGCACAGTTTCCATGTGTTTTGCCAATTTTCCTATTCCCTTTTCAGCAGAAATGTCAGAAATAGCAAATAAACAAACAAACAAAAAAAACACCACCAAAAGGGCAACTGCACTTCTGGCTAGCTAGAACAAGGATGAATTTCTGGAGCGATAAGTGCATGGGGCAGGAAGGGGGAGGATTTCCCTTGCTGAGGGACAATCAGGCCTTTCAAACATCTTTGGCAGCTCTTATGTTAACACACACTTAGCATTATCCTGTAATGATATGGAAAGAAATTACAAAGCTACGGGCCACATCAAAATACATCAAAGGCTAAAGCGGTCATGGAGTACAGCTTCCCTTTCCCTGAATTACAGGGATGGTGAAATAGGGCTGTTTCGGTGCTTTATCTCACCAGGGCCAGAAAGCTGGATGCCAGCCATCCCTCATGTTATGAGATATATAGCTGGGCAGGAGGTCAGTCAGGGTGAGCGAGGGCAGCTCGAAGAAGACTCCTTTTTTTTAGAAAGGAGTTTGGCGTTTGTGACCAGTCTCCAAGGGCGAGCGGAGAAGCCCTTGGGTTGCCGGCAGGGGGAATTTGCCTGAACGCGGGAGGTGTTGCCGCGTAGCATTGTATCCGCAGAGCTGCGGCAGCTGGGAGGGCAGTGGTCGCACCAGCATTATGGCAACTTTTCACGCCAAAATCCTCTCCCAGGTGGTGTTAGAAGAAAGGAGAAGTTTCAGGGAGGGAGAAGAAGAGGTGGTTTATGGTGAGATGTGCAGGAGGAGGAGCGCTGTGCAGATGGGAGCTACTGGTGGCCTCTTGCCCCGGCCGGGGCTGGGCTGCCGGCACCCGAGGCCAGCTCTGACATGGGCACCTGTACCGGGATCACACTGCTGGGAAAAGAACGGTGCAGGGAAGAGCTGCAAAAACCTGCCTGGGGGCTCCTTTCCAGGCGGGAGCTGCATTTGAGCTCAAGCCCTCACCTTCAGTCCTCGCCGCAGCATGGCGTTTCCAGCCACCAGCATGGACGAGGCCCATGGAGGAGCTCGCACCATGAACAACAGGACGGGTCTGTGCTGAGCCAAGAAGATGTTGGGAGTTGCACATCCAGACGTGCTGGGGGCGGATGTATGTTTTGTAAAGCTACATTAATGTCAGTAGCGTTAAGGGTTTTGAAATATATATTTTGAGGGAACCAAAGCAAGATACTGCAGATGAGAGCAGGGAATTATTTGGCCTGCTGTTCTTTGAACTGTGCTGCTCTTGGGCCCTGGAAGATGCACTGAGTGATGCGCCCAAGGGGATGGGGAGGTGGGGAAGGGCGCAGAGCCTCCTGCAAGCCTGAGCCCAGGCAGGCTGGTGCTGGTGAGGGATACGGGCGCTTTGCTCTTTCCTTAAACGAAGGGTTGTAAATGAAGTGCAAGCAGTGCAGAGGGGCTGCCTGGGTTATGTAAACAGCCCAGCCCAGAGAAACATGAACAGGGCATTGTCCCTTCTCCTGTTTCCGACGGAGAGTTTAAACAGAGCCGCTCTCCAGTTCTCCTATTGGCATATGATCAGGGAGCAGGCAGCAGTCGAGAGTCGTGAGGGCGAGGTGGCAAGCTCAGGAGCGGATGAGTTTCTGGTTACTGGCTATTGCTTCGTGCTGCCTTTGCTTCTGAGCGCTCAGTCTGAGCCTGGCGGAGGTCGAGCTGACCTGGGCATACTCAATAGGACTGGCAGAGAGCTGGCTGGCTGCGGTTAGCTGCGTGTCCCCACTCCAAGTCCTGCCCTCAGGGAGTGGCACTGCGTGAGCGTGACTCCTCCACCCTGATGCCAAAACAGCTGAGCCCAGACAGCTGACTTAGTTTTGCCATCTAGCAGTAAGGGGAAACAACTCCTACCCCAAGCGTCTCAAGTTGGGAGCAACATCTAAGGTACCAGAAGTCGAGGCCCGCTCTGGAGCCTTTCCCTTTCTGTCTGTGCCCCTGGCCTGCAAAGCGAGCCTGCCGCTATTCCTGAAGGGCCTTTCGAGGAGCTGGAACAACCCTGGAGGCACTGCTTGCACTGGGTGCAGATACTGGCGTCGTTCTTCCTTCCAGCACCAGCCTCAGGCAGCCAGCGTCGTTTCTGAGCGACTGCGGCTTCTCCAGCCCCCGGAGGTGTTGGCTTGCAGAAGCCAGTGCAAGCCCAGGACGTGGCAGGTAGGGTCTTGTGTCCCAGGGATTCAGGACTTCAGGGGGGCTGTAAGCTAGAAAATTTTGCTCTTCCCACAGGCAAGCAAGGCCGTTGAGGAAAGTGAAGCCTTTGAGAAGCAGCTAATGAGCTCATCGAGAACAGACAGCTTTTGCAAAAGGCGAGAAACTGCTGCTTGGCAGTCACGGAGTGGTGACCCTGGGCCAGAGGAACTGCTTTAAAACAGCTGGGCTTATTTTTAGGGTGTGAAATGGTTGCATGATGCAATTATGTAAAAGAATAGAACAGCCAGAAACACTGCTAAACACCAATTTTGCCCGCAAACCCTTGCTTTTAACCATGGGGAGGCTGAAATAGCAATTCAAGTGACCTGAGAGCGCAAGACTATCTGCCTTCCCAAACCTAGAGATGTGATGGATAGCACCCATAAATGCTCTGACAAGAAGAGGATTCACCAAATGAGTTTGGGCAGCTATTCAAGGTCCTGATTGCAACTGCGCTATCTGTACCCTGGAGTTCTGCTGGAGAAAAGGGGAAATAATGTGCAATAATTGGAGGACTTGGTGTAGATCTTTTCACAAGTAGTTCTCCCCTCCTTCCAGTTTCCTGACGTAGTTTCACAGACCTCTTCCAGCAAGATGCAGTCAATGTTTGCCCATACATTTTAGGCAGACTTTCACCACCACACGAGGGATTTGGAGAGGTAGGGGAATAGCAGAACTGGAAAGCATCCAGCAGTATGCTATCATGGGAAGCTGCCCACCTCTCCAAGTCAGTTCCTTCTCTGAGACCATCAATCGCTACACCCTCAGAAGTACCACAAGTGGTACCCGAGTGTAGTAAACTGAGGCGTTTACCTTCCCCTATCCTATTGCTGGTGGAGTTATGCTGCATGCTGTTAGCAACTTCAGCTGTGTTAAATGATTTTTTTCTCTGCTCACACACCCGCGCACTGGCTGCCTGAAACGGCAGACTTGATCAGGATTCTCAGAACTACCATTGCTACTTCCCCTCCATTAATATCAATGTGCCAATCTGGGAAACATTTTGAGAAAAACTTGCTTCTTTGCTGAAACCTATCCCTCATAAGCCATCACGCTTTCAATACATTGTCTGCAAAACGTGTGGACATGCTCTTTTTGATTTGCATGTGTGATGGCAATCAGTAAGATGGAGAGTACTGGGACATGGATCCCACTGCCCATTCCGTCACCCTTGAGGAATCCCTTTTTCCAGAATCCATCCATCTCCTCCACGTTGCGCAGGATTGTAATGCTGTCTGATAACTTTGCGTGTCTTGATGGCAGCCACTTCCATTACCAACATTTTAAATGCCAAAATTGTTGCTCAATGCCTGCTGCTCTCCAGGCTTCTGACTGCAAAGATAGCATTCACCCCTATTTCTGTATCATCAAAGTTGTTTTTATCGGGGGTCTGGCAGAGCAAAGCAGTCCAACACAGCACACAACTCCAGGAATTTGCTTTTCCGTATTTGAAAGCTTTGACATTAGTGCTGGTCATCACGGTTTTACATCGCAATCTAGTTCTTTTCTTTAGTGCCTGCAGAGATCCCAAACTGGTGCTACACCCTGTAAAGTTTTAGTGATTACGTGTAACAGCTTGTTCACTTTATTCACTGTCTTGGTCTACTCATGCACAATAACCTTCCTAAATTTTTGGCTGTTGCTATAGTTCTGCAGATACCAAAGAATAATTTGCCCTGCCCTTTAAGCGGACAAAAGAGCTCCAGTGTCTGTGTGACAACTAAGCTTTTGGCAACAGGAGTAACAGCAGTAGAGGTGAAAAACAAAAAGTAGATTGGAGTAGAAAGGGATTTAAAGAAACTCAATCTCAGATTCCTACAACTGCCAAAGAGGAGCAATGGTGTCTCACAATCTATTTCAAAAATCTTTCACTAAGCCACATGCCACAGGAAGAAAATTAACATTGCTCTTACCTATATGACTGCTCATCATTTGCTGATACAATGCTACAAGGATATTGCCTGGGCACAGGCAACCAGATAGGATTTTAATTCATTGACATCACCAAACCAGTAACTGCTTGCTGTTAGAATGGCCTCTCTGCCAAACTTTCCAGTGCAGGCAAGACCAAAAGTGATAGGAGCTGTGAAGCAACCAGAGAGCTTCTGGCGCTGTCTACAACCAGCCAAGCAAGTAGGTTCCCTTTTGAGCTAGTCGCCTATAGGAGTGGAAATGGGCGTGAGAACAGAGTCTACAACTTGAGTGTCCATTTTGAAAAGCATTTTAGGAGACTAGACTTTTCTGTTTGTTGTAGCTGACAGACTAAATCGAAGTACAGAAAACAATTCTCAGTGGTTAGGCAGCCCTGAACCCAGCTCGTTCCTCTGTAAAACAGCTACCGCTCTCGATCCAAGCTGCCTTTCCACCAGGTGTATCCAGAGTGGAACATGGATGTCCACCTCCACAGGTTTTTATTATAGGCTAGCTTTAAGGATCAGTCTCACCTTTCATATAAAGAAATGCCAGCAGACAATGCTGCAAGGAAAATTCTCCTCCTTTCAAGCAGTTTTCAGTCTACAGCAGGAAAGGTGTCAAGCAAAGAGTAAGATCCTTACAGAGTTATCCTTAATTCTGTTCTTTTGTGGGAAGTTTTATTAGGACGCTACCCGTTTGTATAATTCTTAACTTCTGTCATAGAAGGAAGCGGTCATTCAGGAAGATACAATTCAGTCCATTGGAAA